AGTAGTCCAATTGCATTCCAGTGTGATGTATCCTGCTTGAATTAGAAAGAAAGAATCTATATTTTTAGCTCAGAATGATTTAGTATGTAGAATAGGTTAAAATACAGTGAAGGTATTATGCATGAATAATTTTTATATTCTTCTGAAAGTGAACCATTTTAAATGTAATCTACATGGAAGACTGCAGAGCCCATGTTTCCACAGTAGGCTAGTTGTCTAGACCAGTGTTTCTTAAATTTTTTGCTCTCAGGACCCCTTTCCACTTTTAAAATTATGGAGGACCCCAAAAGAGCTTTTGTTTGTATGGATTATATTTATCAATATTGACCATATTATAATTGACACATTCTTGGAATATTTATTCATTTATTCAATTTATAGGGCTGCCCATCTCTTGAATCATGTAAAAATAACATTAATATAACATAACAATATTAAAATAACATAACAATATTAAACCAATTAGATATTAAATAAAATATTTTTCATGAAATACCTTTTTTTTTAAACAATAAAACATAATAATGAGAAGAGTGACATTGTTTTAAATTTTTGCAAATATCTTCAATATCTGGCAAATAATTTTGATTTCCCAGACGCCTGAGAGGTTCTTGCAGGGCCCCCATGAGTCCTCGGACATCACTTTAAGAAACTTAAAGAAACTAGTGTATACTGTTGCCATTTTTTCTGTTTCCTTGTGTCTTTTAAGTTGTTCAAACATATCCAGAATCTTTTTTTGGATATACTTAAACCAAGGTATAACTCTTTTGTGTAGCAATAGGAGTTAATTTAATTGTACTATAATTTTAGGAAACTTAATTAAAAGCTTCATAAAATCCAATTTTAAAAAATTCTGTTTAGAGATTTGCATAGAAAACAGGGTGTGTCTGTAGCCTTCATATTTTGTTTGATAGTTTCCCATTCATTGGGTCCTTATCCAGAACAAAATAATGGTCAGTCTGAACCTTTGCTCTGTGTAATACATTAATAATTCATTCCTGTCTAATATTATGTTTCCTCTTACTTTCTGGATGTGGTTATTGAGTAGACTTCCGTATAACATTGATGAATCTCCTTGACGCATTTAACCTGTATTTGATTATTAGTTATAAAAGGTTTAGTGGAAGTCAATGTAGTACATTTGTTCCTAACACTGATATTTTACAGTCTAACAGCCGTTTATGCAGCAACATTTTATATTGATTTTAATTAAGCTTAATTCCAGCAATATGTTTAATCATAGTTGTTAATATAAAAAGAAAATTGTGAAGTTAGTTGAATCCAGTTTTGTGAAAGATATCAATGAAATAAGTAACTTTCTAAACATAGTATGACCTTCAGAAGATTTGTGATATTTTCTCAGAAACTATATTAATCCTGAGATTGATTAGTATGTGTGTTTCATATTATATGAATAATAGAATAATATGTATTAGACTATAATATATATGATGTGCTGCAGTAATGCTAATATAGAAGTAGATGCATCAGGTACTGTATATTTTTAAGTAAAAATTATTCTGAGATCAGATGCCCATAGACCCATGATGACATACCAGCAACTGTGGAGTCCTTCGGGTTCTCTGGGGGTGGTTGTTTTCTTGCAAACGTTTCATTACCTGGCTAGATAACATCTTCAGTGGCCGGGTAATGAAACGTTTGCAAGAAAACAACCACCCCCAGAGAACCCCAAGGCACAGTTCAACCCTGAGCTACATGTATTCACTTCTATTGATACCAGCAACTTTAATTAATTAGAAAATTATCAAGAAATTTAATCTTTACTGTCAAAAATAATGCAGCTATTAATGGAATATTGACCCGTTGGAAGCCACAGGCTAGGTATCGTGGGATTAATGTATTTTTCCCCTATTGAATGCTTAAAGAATTGAAGGCATGCATAATGAATAAATATTTATATTGTTGCTGTTTTTCTTTGAGGATTCTTTCTCTTTCTGTTAAAAAAAAATCACATAGCACTTTAGATGAGTTATTAGATAAGCTGTAATGAAAATGTTTGGATTAAAAGGACCATGAGCGGCAAAAGAAAATATAATAGAATTGTTTTGTTAATTTTTATACAAGCAAGAGGAAGAGTCTTGTACTTGAGTGTTGCAATGCAGAAATGTAATGGGAAGGATGCAAGCTGTAATATGTAAAGTTTAAGGAACAACGTGTGCAAAAGGGAGAATTTTTCTCCTCTTAGGTCAGAAGCAACTCTTCCAGGAGGAGAAAAGGTTTGTTCTGATGAGAGGTTAATTTTGGAACTAAACCACTAAGCTGAAAAAATATAGCAGTTGTCTTGGCTAAACTTGTTAAGAAAAATGTAATTGAATGCAAATTGTATAATACAAATGTGCAAATTGTATTTTTTCCCTATACATCTTATATCAGTCCTACTGTAATAAGATTCTCCCAGAATGCTCTCCAAGACAATTTTTGATTCTTAGGAACAAAAAAACAAAAACAAAACCCCAGTCTTCAATATGTAAGCTTATTCACTAGAACTTGGTGCTCTTTTTCTATTGAATTATTTTAAGACCTGCTCAATGAGTTGGAAAAAAAAATCCAGATGCTAAAATATCCTTGTTGTGGTAAGCTTAACAATAGTGCTGATACGAAGGTCAAGGCCATGGTGGATTTTTTTTTCAAAATAAACAAAACACTTTCTAACATGAAGTGTTTGGCTTGCTGGTAAACAAAACTTACCAAAACTAATTTGACTACTGCCATACCACGTATGCTTGACCATGATCTTGGCTCACAGACTGCTTAATAATATTCATTATTTTAAATTAAAGTTGAAGAATTGCAGACTCTTGCTCAAATTAAGATTGGTTGTGTTGCCGGAATCTGGTAATTACTTTAATTGATCACCAGATAGTTTCCTTGATCACCAATTACACCCAATTACTGATTATGTTTCAAGACGTGAAGAAATGTCCAAACTGATTATGTAATAATGTTTTCATATATAATCAATCCTAAATAGCTTTTTTCCCATTCCCAATTGTATTTTATAAAAAGAAGGTTATAAGCCTACAGATACAAAAGGTGATCCATAAACAATAAAGTTCTGATTTCATTTAATTAGCAAGGGAAGTATTTAGGAGGCTTAATGGAGATTGCTCTGCTGAAATTACTTCAACAGACCTGCTTTTCATTTTCATGGTAGAAAATATATGTAAGGGGGAGGCTGCTGTGAGGGTTTAAAATGGACTGTAAACCAAGATATGGTTAGATGTGCATATAAACCTAACTGGAGCAAGGTAAATTTTTATACCATGTTATGAAAATAATTTTATAAGATCTCTACATATTTTAAAATGTCATAGAACCTTTGAACACCAAGAATTCCTTCAAATGCTATTGTAGCAAATAACTTGAGTGACATTAATAGTTTCATTGGGACTTTAATGTGATTAACTTTTTTTAGCTTGTGCTCAATAGTCCATAAAATTAAATTTCAAAAGGCAAGGATCATCACATCCTTAATACTAAAAAAAAAAAAAAAGTCCCAACTCAGTTGGCTACTACTGTTTAACCTTTGATTTGCTTACTGTGGTTTACATCAGCAATTCCCAATATTTTCTTTTTGAGGACCGTAATCTCAGCCAGGATTAGCAACATAGTGCTTGTGGACAGCATGACATGCATGGCTTTCTCAGAGAGCAATATTGGGACCTAAACACAGGATTTTAAAAAATAAATAGCTCAGAACTTTCAGGATCTTGCAATTTTTTTGGCATTTTTACCCAAAATCTCACAAGATGTCAGTTGGAACCCCAAAACCTCAGGATATTTAGTAATCTCATGAGATGTTTGCTATTTATTATTTTTAATGGATGCCTATACTGGAGGCCAACTGCATTACCTTTGCAGATCACTAGTGGAAACATTAGTAAATTTCTCTTGTTGAGAATAAAGTAAATACTCTAAATCGTGTCAGAAAATGCCTTATTTTAGAACTATTAAAAACTAAAGCTAGTAGTACTTCCAAAAATAGTTTCAAAACTTTTAAGTTTCAAAACTGCTTTTTACAGTGGTTTGACTTTGAAATGTAATTCAAAATCAAGTGAAACAATGGCTGCAATTCTGTGATTTACTGGGGAGCAAATAATGTTTCAACTGCCAACAGTTTGATGATTTGTAAATGAAAAACTTTTTTGGAATAATTTGCTCTGATTGTAATGATTGCATTCATCTGACTGGCCAAGTGGTTTGCAGAGTCATACTTCATTCAGTCAGCAGAGCTAGAGGAAAAAATACTGAAACTATTATCAACTATTATACTGTTTCTTGATTATATGTTTAGTCAAAATTGCTGTCATAGGATTGAACATGTTTTTTTTTTTGTGGAAACATTTTTATAACTGGACTTCAGTATATTGATAGATACACGGACTTTAAAAGATCATACTTAATGTATCACAGATTTATTGCTGTTAAAATAATCTTTCAATTAGGTTTTTAGTCTTATTTTGAGATCAGTATGTTTCGCTTTAGCAAGGGAAAATCACTGTATAATATTGGATTCTTGATATTTTAAGCACTCACATACTGTTTGCATGTATGTAAACTGTAGATTTTGTTTTGCACAAGACAGAGCGGGTGAAATAGAGCACATATAATTTTGCTTTGTTTCTGGAAGCCTTTGGATCAAATCACACCCTGTCCATGAATTCATTAGTGTTAGATAAGCCGGTATTTTCCATACCTGCAGTGTAAGGATACAAACCTTGCCTGCTTCATCAGACTTCTGTAACAATTTCCAAAATAATCTCTGTGACACACTTTCTTGGTGCCATTCTCCATTACTAGTAAAATTTAATTAGTAAAAATACAACTGCATGTATCAGGCCTATACGTGCTTGCTTTCTTTTTTTTTAACTTTTTGATTTCACTTTTCTCCTCATGCATATGCAGAATGTAATCATAAAATGCTTTATTTTAAAAATTACACATGCATTTAATTTTTAATTTTCTTTTTTTTTATGCAGGCCTTTGGTTTTATGACTCGGGTAGCTCTTCAGGCTGAAAAGATGAATCATCATCCTGAGTGGTTTAATGTGTACAATAAGGTAATGAACTAATACTGATGAACTAATAATTTATATCTTTTCATTGGGGATAGGGAAATGCCAGGCTCTGATACTATTTTTGGGGGGGGAAACCCAGTGAATTTAAAATCTTAGCATTATTCAGTCTTATTCTGTTCATATCTCTGTTGTAATCTTTTTCAAGCTATGCCACCTTCATTCCACACTTTTTTGCAGTGATTGGTTTTGGTAGTATGTAAGCATGGGGATGGGGTGGGTTCCATTGTCAACTTCAGTCATACAGCTGGGGTTGGTCCATTGAGGTAATAGGAAAAATCCACAAATTCTGTTTCACCAGACTTGAAAGTTTGATAAGCCTATTTTCCAGGCAGTGGCATCTTCAGTATCTCAGTGCTTTTGTCACAGTGCAGAAAGAAGCATTGTACTGCAAGCTCCACCCCTTTGGGCAGTTGTGCGATGTCGTGACGCAAGCAAAGAATGTGCAGGGCTTGCGTTGTGACACCACAATACTGTGTCACTCTGCCTGTCCCTTCTCCCCCTTGTGCTCCCTGCAAATGTTGCTTATTCCAGGTGTGCCTAACTTTACTCCGCCATACTTGACCTTTGAAATGCATACCAGGGGCCTCGCTCCAGAAAGTAGCGGAGAGGGAGCAAGACAAAAAAAGAATAATTTTATTTACAATCACATTAAAATAGAGTTAATATAATTATTCTCCAAGTCTGTGTTTAATTATTTCCCCTTCCACCACATATATGTTTTAATTTGGTGGCAAATTTTGGAGATCTTTAGGAACTGACACAAGGTTTATGTGAGCCCTGTTATTCACACCTTCGTAAAATACCAGGAGTAGCAGTTCTTTTCAGATTTTTATTAGCTCTCCAGAAAGGTTTCTGTCTCCAGGAGTAAGCCCTTTTAAAAGGAAGAAAAATAATAGTATAAGGTATTCCTGCCTTCTTATATTGCAAGTTAATTTTCCAAATTACACAGCTAAGAAATATTTTTGAGAACTCTAGATTTCTTAGTGAGTGAAGTTTCAAAATATATCTGCAGATTAAAAACTAAAATAAAATTTCTGGATGAGTGTGTTGGTCTGTGAGAAACCAACCCCAAGTTAAAAGACTTTAAGAAGGATCTTGAAATTTTCATATGGATAGGTTCACAATTGGAATATTATGAATACTATTTCTGAACAGTTCTCATTTCTCAATGAGAAATTCTTGCTTCTGGATCTGTACTTTACATAATTTTAAACAAGATCTTTGCTATATATGCAGACAGGAGTTTTGATAACAATTTCTATTCTTATTTTAAATCTAACATTGGGTGTACATTTCTAGGTATTCCTGGTACAGTTTTAATTTCGGAGAATTAAATATAATCTAAACTTATTCTTTCTCTCCTCCCCCAGTAGCTTGATGATCCAGGGAAATTTAGCAAAGTAGAACATAATGTTCTACTGGTGATATGTGAATAATCTCTTGGAGATAACTGAATCGTGAGAACTGGTCTGCACACTGTTGCCAGGCTCTTCACCTTTATTTTAAATTGAACAGTTTCTCACTTGCAGTTGGTTACAACCCAATTTCCTTGCGCAGTGAATAGGTACAAGTACTTTTTAAAGATAAGAGAATGTCAATTGGGCAGAGTCCACTGGTGAGCAAGACAGTGTTTGTGTTATAATCTGGGATTTTTTTGATCTTCTGAAGCCCAAGGAAGTGCATAGGGTCCTTGGTAGTCTGAATTCTGCCACCTGTGGGTTTGATCTGTGGCCCTCCTGGCTTCTTTGGATAGCTAAGTGGGGCATGAGCAGCAGGCTCCCCGAGATAATCAGTGTCTCTTGGGGGCTAGACGTAATGCCGCTTGCCTTGAAAGAGGCAGTAATCTGTCTTCTGAAGAGGCCTCCCCTAGGTCTGGCTGCCTTTCATAATGTTCATCAAGTTTCCAACCCGTTCTTCCTTGTAAAGGTGGTTTAGAAGGTGGGTAGCAAATCAGCTACAAAATATCCTAAATGAAACAGGATTTCAGTCAGGATTCAGGACTGAAACAGCATTGGTCGTTTTGCTCAATTACTTTTGCTGAGACCTAGATAGGATGTTCTGCTTTTGGTCCTATTGGACCTCTCAGTGGCATTCACTACCGTCAACTGGAGTACCCTTTGGGATTGTCTGCAGGGATTGGGAATTAGGAACAGTTTTATGATCATTCCTCTTCCTCCCAAGTGGGCAGTTCCAGTTGGTGTCATGGAGAGACAGCCCTTGGAAATTCCTATGTGGTATGTCCCAGAGCTCTCCCCCATGTTATTGGATATGGTATATACATATGAGTACAGGCCATTTATCAGTTTGAAGTGGGGTGTCATCAATATGCTGATGACACCCAGTTATGCATTGCCAACCAAAAAATGTCATAGTAGTCTTTAACTGGTGCCTGGATGCTGTGAAGATTGGGTAAAATAAGCTCAGATTAAACTCTATCAAGATAGAGTTTCTAGTTGTCAGTAGATATTTTGGGAATGTTGGCTGGGCTACTCACACGCCCCCTTCCCCTCAAGGAGTTGGTTTGTGACCTTGGATTTCTCCTGGATTCCCAGCTCTTTCTTAAACAGCAGGTGGAAGCTGTGGCCAGGGGAATCTTCCCCCAGCTTTGGCTAGTGTACCAATTACAACTCTACCTGGAATGAGATGCCTGGCAACAGTAACTCATGCTGATCACCAGTTGGCTGGACTGTGATAATACATTCAATATGGTTCTGCCTTTGGAGCTGACCTGGAAACTATAACGGATATCAAATGCGGCAGCCAAACTTCTGACAGGGCAACCCTGTTAGGCAAAATACTCATTTTCAAGTTGCTGCATGGGTTGCTAGTCAGCTTCCAAGCACAATTCAGATTGATGGTCATCACCTTTAGAGCCCTTTATAGGACAGCACCAGGATACTTCTGACTTACATCTGTCCATCCAGTTATTGAGAGAGGCCCTTTTGTGGGTCTCCTCCCTTACAAAGTACATGGAGGGTGGCCTAGGTGATAGACCTTCTCAGTGGCAGCCCCATTCAATAGAATACTCTTCCCCCAGAGGTATAGAGAGCCCCAAGCCTTTGTTTTCTGTAAGTAGTTTAAGGCAGCCATGCTCTGATATGCATTTGATCCCTAGGTTAGTTTCATTTATTCAGTACCGTTGATGTTTGATTATTGAAAATTTTGTTTTAAGTTTTGTATTGTATTGTGTTTGGCCTAGTTGCAGCCTGCCCAGAGTCCATTAGGATTGGGGCAGGCTACAGATACTGTAAATAAATAAATGGGCATTTTTTTTTTTTCTAGAAGAAGCTCCTTGCAAATGTACAGTTGTGTGAAAAAGAAAGTACATCCTCTTTAAGTTCTATGGCTTTACGTATCAGAACATAATAAAAATCATCTGGTCCTTAGCAGTTCTCAAAAGTAGGTAAATGCTCTGCCACAAAATACAGTTGTGTGAAAAAGAAAGTACATCCTCTTTAAGTTCTATGGCTTTACGTATCAGAACATAATAAAAATCATCTGGTCCTTAGCAGTTCTCAAAAGTAGGTAAATACAACCTCAGGTGAACAACAACACATGACATATTACACCATGTCGTCATTTATTTTACACAAAGCCAAAATGGAGGAGCCATGTGTGAAAAACTAAGTACACCCTTACTGCTTCCATAGGTATGAAGAGGCTAAGTAGCAGCCAGATGCTGTTAATCAAATGCCCTTGATCAATTGATCATCATCAAGTGTGATTACCTCGATAAAAGCCGAAGTTTTAGGAGTCTGCTGGTCTCGAGCATTGAGGTGTGTGTTAACACAATGCCAAAGAGTAAAGACAGCAGTGATCTTAAAGAAGCAATTGTGGCTGCCCATCAATCTGGGAAGGGTTATAAGGCCATTTCCAAGCAATGTGAAGTCATCACTCTACAGTGAGGAAGATGATTCACAAGTGGAAAACATTCAAGACAGTTGCCAATCTTCCCAGGAGTGTATGTCCCAGCAAAT